AGAAAAGCTATGGTTTTTTGCTTCTTAAATTAATTATATATAATGCTCAAATAGGGGAAAGAAAAAAATTCAACTGTGATTTTACGCTTTTAAATGGTGGAGCCCCATGTCATAACAGAAGCACACTATGTATGGTAGTATTGCTTGTTTGAATAAAAATCTTTTGTCAGTCTAATTTTTTAAGATGTAACACAAATGAGGACAGACACATGGAACTTCCTTTTCCACATGAGAAGATGGTATCTTTGGCGGTATTAACTGAGAACAAATCAGGTGATCATGAATCATGTCATACAATTGTTGATAGAATAAGGTTGATTTTGCGATCTCTCTGAAGATTGATTTTGTTTTTTTTTAATATAAGGTCATTGCAAAAAGAAAAATATTGAACATGGAGCAGCTTGTGTGCACTCCACTGTGTGCACAAGTTTGATATGCCTTGTAGTATTGGCAAGGACTGCTCTCAAGTATTCAGACTTTTCTTCTGTATTGAAAATTCATGAATTCTATTGTAGATATCAATCCAATGATCTTGTCAAGAAAAAAAATACACAAAAAATAATAATAATAATAATAATACCCGGCTCTTGTAATCCAACTGCAAAATTATTGGTTCAACCCCCTAGTAGATTTCATCTGGGATAATGCATGTATGCATACCAACAAATGCTATTGTTCTGTTTAAAGCATGGATTCCGTTCTTGGTAATCTAATTTTTTGTGTTTGTAACCCCACTTCTCATTTCAGTTGAATTTATAATCTTGATTTATGCTTGTACTCATTTAACTCATTATCCTATATTATTTGGAAATAACACTATATGTAAAATGGTGTACAGGGACTGGGAGAAACTTTTGGGAGAGTGACAATTGAAGCCATGGCATTCGGTCTTCCGGTATGACATCTGACTTGATTTTATTCCTCATCTTAAGGCCCACTAGGATGATAGTTATACTGATGACATTTAGTCTCGCTAACTGAACCTACATATGCAAAGACATGCTACATGACTATTGTGTGGCATAATCTTTCTTTTCTGTCCACCTTCTGCAGTAGCATGAGTCATTACAATTAACAACAATGTAGATCAAACTCCAAAAAAACTATAATAAAAAAAGTCTCCTATTGAGATCAGTAAACCTGTATTTATAGGGAGATGGGAGCTCATCTTCATAAACATGGTTATCAGGATTAAGTGAAAGTATCCTTCATTAGAAATAGAATTTGAATTGGCTGCAATGATGAAAAACCAGTGATTGTTTGTGCAGATTAGCATTGTATGCCTTTCCCCTTTTTTTTCCTCTTAAACAACATGAACCATGTAGAAGTACATAATTAATACCTGTTTGAAACAAAATGGCATTACTATCTGTCGTCTGTACAATATCATTCCTATTTTCTACGAGTTCAACTCTCGAATGCAACTTCTTTCCATTCTGCTTTAGGTTTTTTGTGCACGGGACCTTGAATAGAATCAAATGAATGATGTCATTTTATGGAGCAGGTGCTTGGAACAGAAGCTGGAGGCACAACAGAGATTGTTGAACACAATGTAACAGGTCTGCTTCATCCTGTTGGGCATCCCGGAACTCGTGTCCTCGCTGAAAATATCCGGTTTTTGCTTAAAAGCCCAAATGGAAGGAAGCAAATGGGATTGAAAGGAAGAGAGAAAGTAGAGAGGATGTACTTAAAGCGGCACATGTACAAGAGATTTGTAGACGTTCTTCTCAAGTGCATGAGACCCAAATAACGTCTCTCATTTGAGACATTCTCATTCGTTTATTTCTTCTCAAATTTAGAGGGTGCTGTGAGTATGGGAATTATGTTGCTCCGGCCAAATGATATTATAGATGCCAAGTTTGAGATTTTCTTGACGAAGCGTAGGAAATGTTTTTTATTGATTCAAAGGTTATTAGTTTAAACATGAAGCTGAATGCTTTGTTCGTGTGATAATGTCAAATGGTTAAGCGCATTTATCCATCTACCGATGTATTGGTTTCGATTCCCTCCTCTCATTATCGATTTATAAATTTTTTTTAAAGTTGTTTTACTAAACACTCAGTCCAGAATTTATATCTCCAAATAACAGCCTGACTCAACATGACCTCTGTACTCCTCAGGTACCTACACTCGTCTAATTGTAGCTATTCAAATATAGCCGAGCAGCTATACTCGGTTTTAGTAATGTTTCTTAAAAATAGTATAACTCCGCAGCTATATTCGATTTTTTATCCTTTTTTTTAATAGTATAGCCCCCCGGCTATACGGTTTATATATATTTTTTGTGGATCCTTTTATTTTTTACCCGATTTTTCATTTATCGATAAGAGTAATTTAGAGCATTATCCATTACTATTTTGCTAGTGCCCGAGTCTCTATTATCCCTTTTTCATTTTTCACTTTTTCAGAGTTATTACCTGTAAAAAGAATTTAACACTTTCGCGTTCAATAATCTATTATAAACGTACATACTTATTTTTCAATAATACATCTGTGTTCTGTAAACATCTTAAAGGCTCGGTAAAATTTAAGGTTTTTAAAAAGCCACGTGGCTATACTTATTTTGACATGTGGCTGCCTATTCGCTAGGCCAAAAAAAAAAACTAGACTAGCTGCCCGGCTATACTCAGGTTTTTTTTTTTAAAACATAGTACAGCCCAGCGGCTATACTCGATTTTTTTTCCTAATTTATTTTTATAGTATAGCCTCTTTATATATATATATATATATATATACATATATATACTTTGAGGATCCTTTTTTTCTTTTTAATTTTTTCAATAAGAGTAGTTTAGAGCATTATCCATTACTATTTTGCTAGTAACCGAGTCTCTATTATTCCTTTTTTTTATTTTTTTTATTTACCACTTTCACATTCAATAATATATTATACATGTACGTACATATTTTTCAATAATAAATTCGTGTTCTGTACAAGTCTCTAAATTCTGATTAATTTAAAAAAAAAAAAAAAAAAAAAAAAAAAAAAACAAAATGCAATACTCGTATTGTACATGTACATACATATTTTTAATGTTTAATACACGTACTTTTTACAAAATTTTCAATACAAATTTATAAATAAACCCAATCCTAGACATGTATTTATAAAAAAATCCAAGCACTATTTAAACATAGAAACACACCCAAAATCAACAATTGTATATTTTTTGGGTGTGTTTATAAATGGGTTTTGAGTGTGTGTAATGATGGGTTTTGGGTGTGTTTATAAAGTGTTTTGGGTGTTGTGTTTTTTTATAATTTCAGCCCCCATTTTGGGTGTTTTAGTGAAACTCCCAATTTTCAATAAGACACAAAATTCACATATTATACAAATAATTCTCACATATTATTGAATAAAAATAATATATATTAAAAAATTTAAATAAATTATTTTAAAATATGATATAGTGGCTGAACTTTTAAGTTGTAATTTGCCAAAAATTTGCCGAATAAAACACGTACGTATTTTTTCCCATTTAGTATTTTATAAATAGTATAGCCGCACGACTATACTCGGTTTTATTAATGTTTATTTAAAAAAGTAGTATAGCCACATGGCTATACTTATTTGACACGTCGTCGCCAAATTGAGAAGCGGGACCCCTTTTTTAAAAAACATAAATAAATCGTAAAGTCGCTCGGCTATACTCGATTTTTTCTTTATTTTTTTTTTTAAATAGCATAGCGTGCGACTATACTCGGTGTTATTAATATTTCTTTAAAAACTAGAAGAACCGCGTAGCTATACTTAATTTGACACGTGGCCGCCTATTCGCTAGGCAGGTTCTCCTTTTTTATTACTATTTTATATATATAAATCATATGGGTGCCCGGCTATACTCTTTTCTTTTCTTTTTTTATAAATAAATAAAAAATAGTATAGCTACACAGCTATACTCAGTGAAAGGGGTGGGCACACTGCCTTATCTAAATGGTCTAACCCATACATGCTAACAAGATTAGTTGCTTATGTTCTTAAACTTGTCAAGAAAAAAAATCAGAAGTTTGACATCAAGGAAGGAGTTTTGAAATAATAATAAAGAAACATCAGATAATTATGACATTAGATAAATGTAATGATGATGAAACAGAGATTATGAAATATGAGAGCCAATTCTATTAATTTATTTGCAAGCAATACGAGAATATGAAATCCTAAGCATTTAAGATGATCTCAAATCAAATTATCCTACCTCATGAAATAGTTTTTTCCCCAAATTTTATTAAATTGCTTTAAAATGATTTAACTCTTAACTTTTTGTTGTGATTTTTTTTGGAGTTAATTTTTACTCACACCTTTGTGATTTATTTTTCTGAAAAAATTAAAATAAATTTAAAAAAAATCAAAATTCTACAAACACAATTTTATTTCACTTAAAATGCATGCGTGTACAACAACAACATTAAATAAAAATTATTCAACAACAAAAATTGAAGCAGCAGCACACAAAAAACAAATAAAACAAAGATGGAATTTATCACTCTCTCCCCCACTAACTATTATTCGGACATGATCTCTCTCTCTTTCTCTCTCCCCCATATTAACTCTCGCACAATATGCCGTTGGATCTCAACGTTCCTATTATCTGGGCCGTTGGATCTCAAAGTTAAAAGTTCACAGGCACTACTTTTTTAATTACCACAACCGACTCTCCAAATTTCTCTCAAATTAAAAATAAAATAAAATAAAAAGAGTTTCCACATTCCGTGAGTGAGATGCTCGCGAAGGAAACTTATAAATAGCAGTGAGTGAGAGCTCTTTGTTCGCAACAACACAGAGAGAAATTCAGACAAAAAAAACTTCACTTGAAAGTTGAATTCTCTTCTAGTCTCTCTTTTCTTTTGTTCGTTAATTAGCAGCATCAAGCAATGGAAGAGTCTCTTGTGCCGTTAGGTTTTTCGTTTCAGCCCCACCGATGAAGAGATTGTGAGTTCCTTTCTCTACAAGTTTTTGGTAGAGAGCAAGCCGTTCATGTCGCTATACAACAATATCTTCCATGCCCGCAATCTCTTCGGAGATTTGGAAAAAATACGGAGAGCCGCAACTGGTTGATACAGACTTGTACTTCATCTCCAAGCTCAAGAAGTTAACCCCAAAGCGGGTGGATCGAAGGGTTGGCAACGGGGGTACTTGGAGCGAAACTGAATCCTCCAAATTGGTTGAAAAGGTCTCTGGAAATCCCAACCCAAACCCCATTGGCCGAAAGAGAGTTTCGCTACGAGGACCACACAGGGTGGCTACTAGATGAATATAGTCTTTTCGATGGTCCCAAGAATGACTACAATCAACGTAGTTACGATTTTGATTCCGTCATTTGTCGGATGAGGAAGAACGATAGGGTTGGGATTAAGGCAACAAATTTCAAGCGTGGGGGTCACAAGATAAAGAAGAAAAGAAGATGAGCACAAACAAAAAGATAAAAAAAGATCATCAAATGGGATCAACAGATTCATTCTCTTCTAATCCAATTGGCGGTGATCTTGTGGGCTCAACTTGTGAATCTGTATCAGAATCACCCAAATAAGCACAAACAAAGGCACAGAGTTCAAGTGGGCTCTCTTATTACTCCAAGCTCTACAAGAAAGTCTCAAACTTTAAAGAATTTCAGATCGAAAATGTTCAAATCAAGATTGATCTTATTATTCTCAACAGATTGGGAATTTGAAAAAATAAAATAAAAATAATTAGGGGAAGATGGAAGGTACCCAATATAGGTGTGGCATTTGTAGCGGGGGCTGCGAGAGCTCAACAGATAGCATGCAAAGAATCGTCCTTCTTCTGCTTCTTCCATCACTGTTTGAACTCTACGCTTCCCTTTTCTACGGTCAGGATCTTGCGGTTGTACTTGGGGAGTGACCAAGCTTTTGCCACGTGGCCGGTTGTTTCTTGATCAACCAAAAAAAAAGTTTACTTCACTGCAATTCTGGGTTCAGTTCTGTTTATACTCAGTGTGCCTTGGATCGATAATTCCACCGGGTTTTGGAAGTCGGTCTCGGAGCAAAGAGGTAGTGTTTGTTTCTCAATCTCGTTGTGTTAATATAATTGAGGCCAAACTGTATTGTTAAAAAAAATATTATAGCCGGCGGGCTATACTCGGTTTTTTAAACGTATAGCTGGACGGCTATACTTATTAATTTTGCTTTTAAAACTGTATAGCCGCGCGGCTATACTAAATTTGGCACGTGGTCACCTACTCAAGAGGCGGGCCGACTTTTTTATTTATAAATCGTATAGCCGCGCGGCTACTCTGTTTATAAAAATCATATATCCGCGCAGCTTTACACTTTTTACATTACAGCATGTTCCATTCACTAGGCTGGGTCGAGGTTTTTCATCCGGCTATACTCGGTTTTTTCTTGGGAAATTGACTTGGATAATCACAAAACATAAACCATAATCAAATATATTCACTTTATAAATTTCAATCAGAAATACTCACTTTGTAACATGAAAGTACCCAATTGCCCTCCATATAAATACATTTGTATTGACCCTTTATCCCCTCAAAAATTCATTTTCTGAAACCCAACTCCTCCCCTCTCTCGCACTCTCCCAAATCTTGCTCAGCCATGACTTCATAGAAAACAGAGAGAGTAACGGCCATGGCGATGACGTCGGTGGATTCTCCAAAGTCTGACCCGGACACCGACACTAAGCTCATTACCAATCCAAACCTTAACCCTAACCCTACTTCTTCAAACCCTCCCCGCCTCCTACAATGGCCCTGCTGTCTGCCTTCTCAAGTTTGGCGGAGACTCCACTGGTGGGGCATTCATGGGCGCCATTTTTCTCTCTCCCCCTCCCTCTCCCTCTCTCTCTCTCTCTCTCTCTCTCTCTCTCTCTCTCTCTCTCTCTCTCTCTCTCTCTATATATATATATATATATGTTTATATATGTATACATGCGTATGGAGTGTTATGCTTTAATTGCTTAATTGTGGTGTTTCTATATGGGAATTTGAGTGGTGCTGATATAGGATTTTGAGTGTTTGACAAAATATGATTTTCGTTAATAGTGTTTTGGGCTTTGCGAAAGGGAGTTAATTTTCTCTTTCTGACTAACGAGCTGTTGGAGTTTTTGTTGAGGTTTGTTTAGTGTTGCTAATGGTTGAGGTATGCTAGTGTTTTGAGATGTGAAATTGTGGTTTTCTCTAATGGTTGAGGTATGATAGTCTTTTGTATTTTTCAGTTCGTATCATGTGGGTTTCTGTTGAGTATTGATATAGTGATTCTTAATATGCTTCCGGATATGTTTTCTGCTGAAATTCCTTATATGAAGTGTATGAATTTTGAATTCGAAATTGTTGCATTTGCCTTATCAAAACCTGATATGGATGCAAATAGGTCTTGTTGCGATTGATTTTATTATTTATCAGAACATGGGAAAGCTGAAAATAGGTATCTTCATGAGATCCTTGACCAAAATTTGAAGTATTGCAAGAGCATTAAGTAGACCTCCCCTGATATATACTGCTTCAGAAAATTTTGGTTGTTCTGTTCACTATTGCCTTCTTTAGGAAGCTTATAAATTACATGTGGAGCTTCTTGAGTCAAACAATTCCACATTACCCCATTATTGTTCTGTGTATTACTGTTATGGATGCTGTTTGGTTATATTGATTAAGTTCACCCTTTGAGGTGTTTTGATGTCTGGTTCTGTGCCTCTTATTTTGTTTGACAATTTCTTTGTGCTTTATGTGTTCCACTTTTTGCGATTTTCTCTTGTTGGTGTTCTAGGTTAGGAAGCTCCTTGCCAATTAGTCTAGGAATTTCGTATGTAATAGGGCATGAATGTCTTGTGAGAAGAATTGTAATTTATGTAGGAAGCTTTGGTAATACAATAACAAATGTTAGAAACTAAATGATTCCAATTACAAATGTGAGAGAGTCACATACTTTAACTTAATGTTTATACTTGCACTTTTCTGAATCTTTAGTTTTGTTGTCATACTTTGGTGAATAAAAAGTAATTGGGAATGTTGCAGAAATGGGGAGTGGGGAACTACACATGCAAGAGAATATCACCTTCATAACACAGCTCATCACTTGGAGGTTCGAGATTGGACAAAAGCTACTGGTTTCTTCACGGTTAGAAGATGGCTTGAGAAATGAAGATGCGCCACCAGTTTTATTTCACCACATAAACATTGTTGTAATAGGAGTGGAATTGGATATTAGTTGTGCTTTGATGTGATCAGCTATTCCTTATTTATTAGTTGTGGTTTCATGAATTAGTAACCATGAAACTAGAGTGGATAGAGAAACTGCATCTGTATATGTTTAGCTAATAAGTAGCCTCGCAATGTAAACTCAAGTTTATGTATTGCGCTTTCTTATTATGCCTCTATTGTTGTCTTAATTATTTTTCCACCTCTGTCTTGACAATTACAAAGCTAAAGTTGGACTAAGAGGTTTACGTATTGCCTTCTTAGCACTTTGTTTTTCACCTCTCTTTGCAATTATAGAGTTAAAATTGGACTTAGGTTTACGTATTGCCTTCTTATTGCTCTTTTATTGTGTTCCTATTACTCCTCTATTGTTGTCTTTGCAATTATAGAGTTGAAAGACTATCAAGTTTAAGTATTGCCTTCTTATTGCCCTTATATTGCTTTCCTATCGTACCTCTATTGTTGTCTTAACTCTTTTTTCACCTCTGTCTTGACAATTATAGAGCTGAAGTTGGACTTCCAGGTTTACGTATTGCCTTCTTATTGCCCTTTTATTGTGTTCCTATTGCTCCTCTATTGTTGTCTTTGCAATTATAGAGTTGAAAGACTATCAAGTTTAAGTATTGCCTTCTTATTGCCCTTATATTGCTTTCCTATCGTACCTCTATTGTTGTCTTAACTCTTTTTTCACCTCTGTCTTGACAATTATAGAGCTGAAGTTGGAATTCCAGGTTTACGTATTGCCTTCTTATTGCCCTTTTATTGTGTTCCTATTGCTCCTCTATTGTTGTTTTAGCACATTGTTTTTCACCTCTGTCTTTGCAATTACAAAGTTGAAAGACTATTAAGTTTAAGTATTGCCTTCTTATTGCCCTTATATTGCTTTCCTATTGTACCTCTATAGCTGTTTTAACTCTTTTTTCACCTCTGTCTTTACAATTATAGAGCTAAAGTTGGATTTCCAGGTTTACGTATTGCCTTCTTATTGCCCTTTTATTGTGTTCCTATTGCTCCTCTATTGTTGTTTTAGCACATTGTTTTTCACCTCTGTCTTTGCAATTACAAAGTTGAAAGACTATTAAGTTTAAGTATTGCCTTCTTATTGCCCTTATATTGCTTTCCTATTGTACCTCTATTGCTGTTTTAACTCTTTTTTCACCTCTGTCTTTACAATTATAGAGCTAAAGTTGGACTTCCAGGTTTACGTATTGCCTTCTTATTGCCCTTTTATTGTGTTCCTATCGTTGCTCTATTGCAGTCTTAGCACTTTTTTTTTTCTTAATGTATGTCTTGGCAAACAAATTGTAGTTAGACTATGAATTCTTTGTATTGCCCCTTTATTCCACTGCCCTTGTATTGCACCACAGTTTAATTCAAATTTCTAGCCACCTGCTTTACGTGTCTACACCAATCATGCACATAAACATCATACATACACATTCAATAAATGTTATAAATAGCTGCATCATGATCTATACAATTGGGTACCTATAAGGATACCTATTTCCAAAAACAAAAATAGCGACATGTTAGGAACACAAATTTTACATAAAGTTAGGTAGCAAATATCACCACTTAATGGAATAAGACATACAAACTAAACAATTGTAATATCTAAATGATCTGCTTCTTGTTAGTGACGGGAATAGCATCTTTGCATGTACTTCGATAGTGGCCCTTCACACCGCACCTTGAGCATTTTCTTTCTCGCGAGTCCTCTCCTTTAGAAGGTATTCTTTGCGTCTTACGACGGCCCGGCATAACCTTTGAAATAGGAGGGAGGAGATTTACATTTTGGACATTTTCGGGAATAACCCATGTCCCTTGAGGTGGTACAGGATAAATGGATTCAGCATATGCAGCTGCCCATGTAGCTCGAGTGTAATACGAAGAGGCAAATGAGTATGGGTTCAATTTCAAGTGCCGACATACCGCAATAGCATGCTTGCACGGGAGTTGCTCTAAGTCAAACTTCCTACACGTACAACTATAGTTTTGCAAGTGCACGAGACCGTTCATATCACCATCAAGCACATTATACTCCATATCATTGATTTTAACCACATTCATCCTCGAAGCAG